CGTTTGTCCACCTCTTCGAGCGCGTGAGCCACCCTCACCATTCCGGAGACGCGACGTTCGTGCTGATGCTGCACGTCAACGAAGACGCATTCGACGACATCGAAGGCCGATCTCAGGCGCGTCAAATGTCCAGAAACATTTTCGTACAAGCTTGTGTTTTTGCGAACTGCATCCGCCGCTTTGAGAATGCCGGAGTATGTGATATTGCAGAGGAAAACGTACTTCTATGTCGTAACGTGTAGAGGGTTTGGCTGTCGGCGGAAGAACATCTTCATATTGTTGTGTCATTGGCGCAAGAAAAAGTACACGTATCATTGCAGAGAGATAATGTGTACACGTTTGCTTTAAATCACAGGGAGCGGATACGGAGGCCACCTGCGAGGACGGCGACGGCAATGCTGCTGCTGCGAGCAGGAGGACGGTTATGACGGTTGAGCCGACCCTCGAAGAGCTCCAGGGCCACGCGTGCGCCTGCATCGACCAGGTCGTCTCCGCCAGCCAGAGGTTTCCCCGAGTGGACCAGAGCCTCGTCCCTCCGCCGCCGGAATGCAGCACGAAGACCCTGGGCCCGTGCACGATGGTTCTCTCGGACGAGATAGTGGTGGACGCGAAGTCGCGCGTCCGGGCGGCGATCGCGACCCACATGGCGGCGCCCCTCAGGCTGCTCAAGGAGTTCGAGCCCTTCGTGGGTCTCATGGACGGCAGCGAGGAGGCCAAGGTGCAGAAAGTTCTCGAAGAGCGCGGGCAGATGGACTCCACCCAGGCGGGCATCACCGCCCTCGAGGAGGTGGCGCTGAGGCTCAAGCGCCTCGCCCTGGAAATCCGAGAGGCGGTGCCGGACCTAAACAACTACCCCATGTTCTCGGTGAAGTGCCTCGAGGCGACCGAGTCGCTGGCGAAGAAGGCGGACGCCCTCCACACGCTCATCATGGAGGAGGTGGCCTCGGACAACCGGACGCACATGGCCGCCATCGGCAAGGAGTACCAGGAGATGGTGAACCAGCTCGTGACCGAGCCGTCGGACTCGGCGGAGCTCAAGTCCCTGCAGGAGTACACTCGGAAGGCGCTAGAGAGGCTGGGAGGCCTGCTGGGCGAGTATACCAACCAGGTCTACACCCGGACGAACTTCCTCCTCGACCAAGGGTTCCGCGTGTCCCGGGACGACCTCCAGCTGTTCCACACGACCTACAACTGGCCGCACAACGTCAAGACGTACCTGGCGAGGTCGGCCGAGCTCCAGCGCAGCCGCAAGCAGGACCTCGAGATGGTCGTGGAGGGGCAGCAGGAGCAGCTCCTCCGGGAGACCGCGGCCCTGGGCAAAAAGATCGACAAGATAGCGGAGGCCGGGTCCCTGGTGCCGGGGGACGTGCACAACTGCGTCCGGCGCATTGTCGCCGTGCAGGAGGCTCTCGACAGGGCCGAGGCCGAGGCCGACAGCATCCTCGAGCAGGAGACGCTCCTCGGCATGCCCTTGACCGACAACCTCACCCCGCTGTCAGACCTCCGGGATTCGCTAGACCCCATGGCGCGGCTGTGGACGACGGCCAAGGACTACCTCGACAGCCACCACACGTGGCTAGAGTCTCCGCTCCGAAACATTGATTCCGAAGCGGCGGAGCGGCAGGCGGATGACCTAATGCGGACGGCCCAGAGATCCGAGAAGGAGCTAGCGAAGGTGAGTTTTGCTTGGGGTTGCGGCCTCAGCCTTGTTCTGGTGACATAGGTTGGTTCCGTCTGGCGTGGGCAGGTTCAACAAACATTCTGTTTGTCTTTTCTGTGCATTCCTTTTTCGTCCTCAAAGCGGAGAACGCGGATAATTGGCCAGGTGCAAGTCTCGGACAGTCCGGCGTATTGTGGAGCGCAGTACGTCCTGATAGATTCGGGTTTTCGATTTCTCGCCCGCCCTCATACCCCGGCCTTGTAACCCTTGCAGGTCGGCACAGAACGAGCTATCCCGACTTCAGTGGCAACAGCCCTGTCCAAGGAGATAAAAGACTTCATCGAGGACGAGGCGCCCCTGATGATGCTCATGTCCTCCCCCGGCATCAAGAAGCGCCACTGGGACCAGA